ACATGACTGACCAGTCCAAAGACTCAAGACCAAGCCAGCGAGCAAACCACAGGAGAAAAACAACACATACATACAGTATACATCAATGATGTTGTTGAACCCCCCCCCCCAAAAAAAAAAAAAAAACAAACAAAGCACGAGCGCAACCTCAAAAGCGAAACGCTTGGCAAAGTGGAGGGCCTTGCTCATCACCATCCGAGCCTCCAATGATGGAGCCCCAAGCCAGGATGAAAGCAACAGCAGCAGCCTTGGCCGCCGGGGTGGGCCGTGTCTTCCACCTGGTAAAAACTGGATCAAGTTTCCCTGCGGTTGCCTCAAAGAGCTCAGGCTCAGGGCATCAAGGTTCACAAGCTGGGTGCAAGCTGGATAAAGGGTTTGGGGAATTACCCTTCTCATTTTGATCATTTGTGAGAAGACAAGGTCGCACAGGATTGAACCTTTGCATGACTCAAATGCTGCCGTCTGGACAGTGGTAAGTGACAGGATCCTGGCTGAGCTTCCGCCGCATCACACCGGCTTGGGGCTGATCTACTAGGAGCATTCTTACTACAAGAATCTACTAGGGGCTCCTGGCCTTAGTACTAGGAGCCTTCGGACGGACCCGAACGGAGGGCGGAGGGATCTGAGACGGGCAGGGCCCCTTTCCTCGCAGCTGGGTGCTTCATTTGACTGAAACTCCGAAACCCAGTGCGGCGAGGGGATCGTTCTCCGCATTCATCGTGAAGCGCGCGGGGGGGGTTGTGGCGATGGCTATGTCCAAGTTCGCTCTACAGAGCTGAAACCAGGAACATCCACCAAGCTTTACTGCAAACAAAAACAGTGCATCTACAATCAGACCAGGTACCCAGGGACCAGGATACCAACCCAATCCAGGTTCTCCCAACCAAATGGCTTTTTGATGCTCAGAATTGGTTCGTCAATTCATCGTTCTGACCTCCTGGTCAAGCAGCTATCTGCCCTCGATCAAAGTTGGACTTGTGGCTCCTCAGCGATGGAAAAACGGTCGAAACACCGGCGCACTGATGGAGTTCCTCCCACCCCCGCGAGTCAGGGCATAACGGTAGAAATACCCAAGGTTCAGCCCTGGACAGTGGCTTTTCCAAGCAGCGCGCTACGAAACCAAGCAAGACGTGGTATGGTCCAGTGACAATGGCGGCACTCCCGGGAAACCCTCACATGGACCCGGGGAGGTTTTGGCACCCTAAAAGACGGTTTTCTACAAACCATTTTCAGGAAAAAACAATCCATGTTAGTCTTCAGCAGGGCACAATCAAATGGCTTTGAAAGAAAAACACCTGGAAGGGGAACCTTCTATGTGTAGAGGAAGGTGGAGTGTCCAAGATATCACGTGCTGCTGTCCCTTTAAAAAGAGTCAACAGGGTCGTCAATGGTTGCCTTGTGGCTAGCGGCATGACTATGTATGCTCCTAGTCGCGGAACATCACGGCTCCAAATGCACCAGCCTCACCTCCTTCCACCTTTCATGCAGATGCCGGAAGCTGCAAGAGACGGCGTGCTGGAGCAAAGAGAGGGACAAACACCACCTGGACCTGCAAAGGGGTGTTCGAAGGAGACCCACAGGTAGTGTAGGCTATTGCATTGGAGACCCCGAAAGGAAGGTGCTGGAAAGAAACCACAAAAAGAACTGAAAGGGAGACGTCCCGAAAGCGCGCACGCTCACCATAGGGGTTAGCGTCTAGACCAGCCCATCATGATCCTCTTCCTGCAGCCAGAGACCCATCATAGGTGTTCAGAGTTACGGCTGCTATTCTGAGACAAGGCGCATTCCAATAGTGGCATAGGACAAGAGAGCCATCACACTGACCTGAGGCCACCCACGACCGGTAGACCTGTAAAAGGAACTTCCGAGCTTCGGCCACCGCACCACACCACCGAACGTGGCTCCAAAATGAACAGAAAGGCATGTAAACCATCACGAGAGAAGGGTGCTCTGCCCACTATTGGCAGAACCACCAGAACAAACATGTCAAAACCACCATGTCAATGGACCGGGGAACGCTCCAAGAGCCCTCGAGCCCACGAACCAAAATGGGTGTGGCGAAATCGAGTTCAGTGCGCTTGAACTCTGACCAAAGTAGTTGGATCATTCCATGTCATTCTATCAATACCCAAACACTCGATGTATGGTATATATGTCTACATTGACCCCCTTTCAACCACCCCAATGTAGGCACATATATATATATTAAAGTGTCTGGGATATATACAGTACTATATAAGCACATGTGTGTGTGTATCATGCCCATTCTATTCCACTTCCATGCTTTCTCATGATTTACTGCATTTTCAGGTCCACCGAGGCGAGCCCACCAAGGCACTGCAGAGCCCAAACCAACGTTGCCGGCCCAGGTCATTTGTGCCCTTAGCATCGGCCGCTGAGGACACGTGGACCCCCCAGGAGGTCGAGTATAGATAGAACTTGCCTATTCTGAAGAGATCTTCAGACCTTTGAGCTTAAACAAACACTATAGGGGTCGGTTTAGTAGTATCTTTGATGAACCAAAGGGACCTTACGGAAGGAAGGTATAAAGAAGGGGCCCTTCGACATATAGCCTTGCACATGCAAACATGTGTGTCGTTGGTTCCTCAACATAAAGCTCCACGTCACCCACAACTACTGCCCTTCCCAAACAAAGTCAAAAAAACATGACAAAACAATAGAATTTCAAATCGTAGCCAATGAGGGCCTCAAAAGTTAAAAGGACAATCATCCCCACATTGGTCGTGTGCATACATCCCTATCCAATATGCTTTCAGCGCCTGCGCGGTCAAACAGCTTATCGCAGCTTTTCGCTGCGTCCGAACCGCGTCCGCCGCGTTTAACACCTGGGCCCTCCAGCTGCAGGCGGTTGAATTCCGCTGCGGCGCCCACCTGCCGCCGGATCGAATGGGATCGCACCAACCGACTCCATACCAAACACGACTTGTCTGGGACTGACATATAAGGGGTGATCAGTTGGGGTCGGGTGGTTGAAAAGGGCTCCATGTATGCAAATATGGCATAGAGTGTCTGGGTAGTGGTATGTTCTAGTTCTAATTACTTTCGGCTTTCGGAATCAATGTCAGTGACGTGCTGGGAATGTTGTTACGCTTTTCCATGGCTCAAGTGAGGACCAAGGCCAAGGTCCTTGAAGGTGGACGTGCAGTTAGTGGATGATGTAGCTTTTTGTTTGGGCCATCGACTACTTGTTACGCTAATCATGTCTGACTCATCTGACATCTCCGGCAAAGCCGACCCATGGCAGGCATACAATGAGGACGATGTGACGAAAGGAAAATAGCAACAAACCTGGACCTGGACAGTCAAGGGCAAGCGGCTACACTCCGACTCACTAACATGGAAGTGCAAAACTTCTGTTTGTGGAGCTCCAGGAACATGGTCTTCCACGGGGCCATGTTCCACTTCCATGTTACTCAGTCGGAGTGTATCCTCTCTTTTTTTCTGCCACGTGCTGGTACTGGTCGCTGATCAGAAACTCCACTGGCCCGCTTTGGCCGTGGAGCTCACAACGAGTGCTGCCGGTTTGCATCATGGGTGAGCGGCATGCTGAGCAGCTGGACCACCCCCCCGGGAGAAAACCCCCAGTCACAAACTTGTTGAAAAGGACTTCTACTGTATATATTATATACTATATACATCTATATATACAGTATAGTTCATTTCAAGTCCCCCCAACTTGGAAATCCCGACCTCTACTCCCCAACCTCAGTATTAGTTATAGGGGTAACCCTTCTTCAGGGCCACCTCGGTGACAGTCAAAGTACTTTGTTGCGTACTTTCTTGCAGCCCACGTTGTGCAGCCCTTCCTTTTGGAAAGCTTGGACTATCTTGCTCAAGGAGCACCCCCGCTGGTGCTGCAAAACCCACCGACTTCTTGTACTCATCACACTCATCCGCGAAAGCGGAACCGCCACAACACCGGTATCTTTGTGTTCGCCGCACCCATGCTAACTCTGAGAGTCTTGGAAATAATAAAACAAAAACAACTACAAATAGCAAAAGCAAAGAAAACAAAGCAAATCCAAAAAGCCGACAAAAAACAAATGAAAAAGCAACAGCAATTCTACGCGTTTTCCGTGTTATTTGTTTTTCTTTTTGCTTGTCCGCATGTGTTTTTTTGTTTGTTTTTTCTTTTTAGACATGTTTTTTTTGTTCTTTTGTTTGTTCCTTTTGTGTTTGCGCTGTTGTTTGTTTGTTTTTGTTTTTTTCAACTTTTTGTTATTTACTATTGTTTTGTTTTGTGTTTCGCTTTGTTTTTCGCTTTTTGCTTTTTCATTTGCATGTTTTTTGCCTTTTGGATGTGCTTGTTTTTTTTTGTTTTTTTGCGTTTGCTTTTTCATTTGCTTGTTTTGTTTTTGATTTGTTGTCTTTGCTTTTGCCTTTTCATTTGCTTTATTTTGCTTGTTTGGATGTGTTTTTGTTGTTTTATATTTTTTATATTTTTTGATCATTTTTGTAGTTGTTGTTTAAATATGTTGCAAACCCATCAGAGTTATGCTAAGTGGTTAACATAACGGTATCTCCAGGAATCTCCAGAGCCCCCCAGAACTCGTGGTTCAAATGCCAAAGACACTGTTGTTCTTTTTGGGGAGAAGCTCAGGATCAGTGGGAGCTTCATCAAGACCTGTCCGTGGATACCCTCGATGCATTTTCTCCAGTCCGGTCCGTGTTGACAAGCCGGCGTGCCTTAGAAAGGTCACCATCTGGGCATTGAGCCATAAGAGTCTTGAGGGGAGTAGATTTCAGGGAATCTCACGATCCCTCTCAGGTGACCCTACCCCCAGCACTGTGGAAACAAAAGCAGGTGCGCTATTTCTTGCAGTACTTGGAGTTGTTGAAGGAACTGAAGGAATTTGATATTTTAAAAAAGCAAACACAGGCGGCTCACACGAAGGGAAAACACTCTAAGAAAAACGAGGATCAAAGTAGTTGCTGAAGGTTTCCTACCTGCACCTTTGAAACTCCCCAAAAAGATCCTTCCGACCTTCTCGGTGATCCTGCAGCACCAGCAGATGAGAGCCTAGAACTGCCGTTGCATCGTTGGAAGTCTTGGGCCAGCACTCCACCACGCACGAAACCCTGGGTGCCTAAGCAAGGCCTAAGAAAACACCCTCTGCTGCGGACTGCGTTCTAGCTGAAACTTCAGACATCCGCTGAAGGTTATCGCCCTGAAGGAAGAGATGACGGAAGACCCGCTGCATTTTGCATCACACATAGGCTGCATGTTGCTGATCCGGCCAGCGCAGGTGAAATAGTTTGCACTTTGGCGACCTTTTCACGTCTTGGCCAGCTGGAGTAGGCTTCACTACAGAAAGCAGTAGTTATCTTGATTTAAAGTTCAGGCTGCTGGGGTGATTCATGACTCAATCGCTCAGCTCATTGCTCAGATTGCCCTAGCCTTATAGCCTTAAAAAGAGCAATGGGATGCGATGGGCCATGCAAATTCATAGTAGCGTGATTTCAGCCCAAATGCTTCGACGTCATCACAAAGGTTTTACCGTATATTTACAGACTTTACAGTCACTATGCCCACACTGGTCCACATCACGGACAGGCCAAGGCACCAGCACCATCGAGCACGTTTCTTGCCTGGGATATTCTTCCCATCTCGTTTCATAACGGCAAGCTCTGCGGTGTGTCGCATGCCTCATTCTTCTCTGGATTTAACTCAACTCTTGCCATTTAGAACCTAGCACAGACTTGGTGTCTCAAACAAGTTGATCAAATTTGAAATCGAGCTGCTTGATGAAAGTCACCGCCCAAAACCCAAAATATCCACTTAGTCCCTGGCTGCATGTGTCTAAACATTCAGCAAATCAACACCAGTTTACCTTCTAATGGCCAAGTCGGCTCACGTTTGAGGGTCCTCTCATCTTCCACCCCGCGCCAGCCGGACTCGCCACGCAGAATCGGAATCGCAGCGCCATCAACACGCGCATCAGGGACCCTGACGAGCACGGCAAAGTCAACACAACATTGCAGTGTGGAGAAGGACATTGGTCATGTGACTTCTCGCCCATTCTCATGGCCAACTGGGTATCTGAACTGCTCAGGAGTCGAGCGACCAGTCCTCCCCATCAACACACATCAAGTTCCAATAATCATTCTGAATTCTGTGAGGTCTTTGTTCAGCAGCCCAGTGGATCCCGAGTGGATCCCATTGTCGTGGTGTTCAATAAAACCACTGACCAAACTCAACAAACCTATAGAAAAGCTAGACCTTTGTAGGGCCAGACCTCGTCTTGGCACCCTCTGCTTTCGCTTTTCGCTCGTTCTGCAGCTGAGTGGCTCTGGGCAGCCCCAAGAGCGCCTGCTCGGCCAGCCTGGCGGGCAGGCAGGAACTTCTTCCACCGACACCCCCCTGGTTTAGCACGAAAGAAAGCGCTCAGGCATGCCACCATCCGCTGGCCCGACATAGTATTTTATGTTTATTAATCGTTCTTTTAATGGTCCTTTGGCGTTGGCATTATAGGCCGGAGGCGTTATTGTCGGTTCTTTCGGGCTGTTGTAGCTGAATTCTGAGATAGGCTTGGTCTCCTTTCTGTTTAACACCTATCAAAAGCTTGGGTTGAATTTGGCTGGATCCTGCGGTGTCTTTTTGCTCATTCATGGGGCCAAGGAAAAGCATATGCATATATGCATACATTTGCACCACATGTAGAAATCTATATCTATATCTATATATTATATCTATCTCTCTCTATATATACATACACATGTTTTTGCACTATACTAATTACTATACTATGTTATACGATTAGTTCTCCTGTTAGATGTCGTAAGTATGTCTCCTGCAGTGGGTGAGTCTCCCTTGTTTTTGTTGTTTCCACCCTTCCATTGATCACGTGCGCAAACATGATCTAAAATGGCTTGTCTCAAAGTCAGGATCCCCAAAACTTGACCAAGTAGCAAAACAGTCTAAATAATATGTTGTTCCTACTGCTCCGGGGCCTTTTTTCGAGGACACATCTCAATATTAAGCAATTGTCTCATGAACACCTGGAGAATGAACATTTCTTGATGATGCATCCATGCCAACACTCAGTGCTAGATTCCTCTACTCACTGCAAAGCTCTGGAGGTGTTTTTGTTGCCCACTCGGCTGCCGCAGAAAGACCCGCAACGTGGAGCCCTTTTTGACCGATGTGGTGCCCTCGATCGTGGACACGTTGAACTCCAAAAACTCCGGAGTCAACATGGTAGTGGAGGTCAAACTGGTCTCCAGAAAGGTCCTTGGATTTACTGAAGTAAAAAAATGGATGTAATGCAATGTGGAAGATCCTCCGCGGTCCGCTGATACTTGTTGGAGGATCCTCTTCTTCGACTTGACGAGCTTCACTGAACTTTGCCTGCGCAATGGGGCCTTGAAAGGCCGTGGCAATGGATGCCATGCAAGCCTGTGACTGAGTAGCCTGCTGCTGACTAGCCTGCGCCAGCTGCTGAATGTGAGAATCTGGTTTCCATTTCTTGGTGACGTGTCCCACTGGCACACTCCGAAAGCTGATTCTGTTGCTTTGCAGTCGTTGGACTGCCGAATCTGCCGCCCGGAGCAATTAGCTGTGCATGGACGCCCGGAGCGCTTCACAAGGGCGAACTGGGCAAACCACGCGAACTGGGATTTCTATCAGCTTCCTTTGTGTCTCCTGCTGCTTGAGGCACCACCATCGGCGTGGATCAAGTCGCCCAAGAAAGGGCCAGTGGACAATGTTCAACTTCACAACACTGGTGAGGAAAGCGCTACGTTTCCATCCAACGGCTTGATGTCCGGAGACTTCTTCGAAATGGATGCCTGTGGTGTGTACTTCGGCTTCCAGTAGCGTCTCATGATCTCTAGCAGCTATAGCATCTGCTCCATGGTCGGGGTGTCTTCAGAACTCACTTCCACGTGCATGCTTCTGCTGCATTGTTTGCGGAACCACCAGCAAATCCATCCAATCCCTAAAACCGTGTCACCCGGATGTCACATGCCTTTTGTGATGATCAATGGAAGCAAGCATCATCCTTGGTTGATGGGAGGTTCTGATCCTGGCTCCCTAGCCGTTAACGCTGGAAAATAAAGGATTAAACCTTTTTCGACCTGGTGAGTGGGAAACCGACCCCCCAAAAAGGTTACATAAAGGATCTTAAAGGTTATAGTGATCCCCAAAATGATAGTGGCACGGTCTCCAATACTTTTTGAGTAGGGATCTATATACTCTTCTATCGACTTCGGGGTCTTAAATGAGAAACAAAAACAATATATATATATATACATATAATATTTATGTCGACTGCCGATTAGTAAACCCCCCGGATTAATGTATGCATCGGGTTTACAATGTGTTTTTACTTGTTTAATGTTTATGTCTTTGTTTTTATTTTTGTTTTAAAGAAAAACATATCTATTTATGTGTGTGTTTATCATTAATGTTATTGTGTTTTTTTTATTGTTGTTATATTGTTTGTTTTGTGTATGTTATTGTTTAGTTTATTTGTTAAAAATGTGTTTTACTCTAAATCAATATCACCACCTGCAATACTGTCTGTTCTTTAGGTATTTAATTAAACCACATCCTTGAATAACGTCTACGCTTTTACATTGTTTAATAATAACTACCCCTAGAATAGTGTCTACATGATTGCTCTGGTATGTTTCGTTTAAATAAACACCCTCTAAAATAATGTCTATATGCGGTTCATTGTTGAATAGTTCCGTAAATAGTTAGTTAATTAATCATCAATATTTGATTTTTTGGTGTTGATATTGAGGAGTCTCCATTACTTATGCGATCCGCTGCGCGCACTGGCTGGCCTCACTCGCTGGCTCAGCTCCAAGACCTGCTGATTGGTCCCCGCAGGTGAAAACGAAAAGACTCGTTGGAGGGTTGATGTATGTTGATGTGGTCACTGAGCCCCCAGTGTATAACAAACCACACTGAGAGGTCCATTGTTCATGAGCCTGCTACAGGGGGAGAACAACTCCGAGGTTGATATTTTTTCCATGTCAGGACCTTCGACAGTTTGAAGAACCAAAAAAAAAAGAACCAAGTGAAAAGGTATTGGCAGGTTGTGAGTCATATCCTACAGTGCGGAAAGAATTGAAGCACCGGCGCTTGCTGGGTTTTCATTTGTGACTATTTTGATGGAGCAGTCTTGACATGTGACAGCCATCATGTACCGCACCAACACCCTGGAGCAAAGTGACATTCCCGGATACACACAGCCAGCAGCTTGGCATTCGAAATCAAGTCGCGAAGCACCCAATCCCTGACCTTGTGGTCTTCACTCTCCCAGTCCCTGTCCTTTACAGGTTGTTGGACCTCTTGGGTGCTGACGGCCCCAACAGTTGGAGAGCGCATTTCTTTCGCATAGATCCATCTTCAGGACACTTCCTCTTCTCCAAGCGAAGAAGAAAACCAAGGGCCGCCCAAGGGTCGGCGATTTGCTCGACCTTTGCCACAGGTCGCTCCCCCAGCCGCCTCAAGTCGCAGCCCCAGCTCGCCCAAACAGCCCGCCTCGAAGAGCTGCGACTCGTTGCCCCACAAATGACCATCGATCAAATCGACTCGTTGTGCTACTGTGAGGGCAGACCTGCGCCAGACCGGGCGCCAGGTCTGAAGGTGGGAGGGTGGCGTAGCCGGTGGCAGGAAGTCGGATGGCCCCATGGCGCGGCGAAATCCGAGTCGGCACGAGACCCATGGTTTGTACGGCTGCACACCATGGATCTGTCATGATATCGATCCCACACCATGGTACAACTAAATCCTGTGACTCTTCCACGCCTTTCGAAGCCACGGTGGCTTTGAACCCCCCCCGGCCGCCTCCCGCCGCCTCCACCCCGTTCTGCGCCCCCCATCCCCGAGGGCGACAAGTCGATGCCGCCGCGGAGCTTGGTCTTCGGAGCAGCGGCGGGATACAGAAAGAACCTGAGGACGTGTGAGGACGTGGGTGTGAGGACGTGGGAGGACCAAAGAGATGATGGTTGGTTGATGTCAGAGATCGAATTCCATGTTCCACAAATTGGACACTGAATCCATCCGAATCCAAAAGGGCGCTTGTTTGGGTGTTTCAGCGGGCGCTTGTTTGGGCCTATTGGTTTGGCCTCGAAGGGCTGCAGTTCTTGAAGACACGTCCTTGCAGTTCTGGACTGTGTGTCTTCGATCCGACCTCCAAGGTCAAGCCGTGCGAGATCGCGTGCGTTCCGACACGTCCAGCGTCCAGCTGGGCGAAACGATGCTGAAGCTGCTACGACCGGAGAATCCGAGAGGCTCCAGGAATGCCACACGATCTTCCAGATCTCTGACCGCCTCGGATGGAAGTACTCCAGCCTCAAGACCTATCCTCAAGAGGTACCTGGACCCTGTAAGAACATGTGATAACTCTCCTGTACGCGCCAATGGAACTGCAACACATCCACCACAAACAAGCCCCAATAGCAAAAGCCAACAAACATAGCCCATGCTCAATATGATGAAGAGTCAGATCTTCAAGGCTGATAGCCCATGTTCAGCCCTTGGTTCGCGCCTCCTTCGGCCGCGGGGAAGGAGCATGAGGACTGGCCTTCGGGCGGTTGGCTCAGGTGGGCCGTATCTTCGGCTACGACTATAGCACCCCCATGGATGGGAAAAGCAGCAATTACACTCACCGAGTTTTTGTTTAACATATATGATGTTGCATTTTTCAATCAGGTTGGGGCTGCAGCTCACCTGCCTCTGTCAAATCCTACGTCCGCCGCCAGGCCCCAAAAAAGACAGGTAACGAACCGTCTCCCCTGCACCGATGAGCCACCTATTGAAGGTCATGATCCGATCCTGTACCCGGAACTTCCGATGGTGTTGCAATGGGAGCAGTTGGGAGTTGGGCTAGTCAAAAAATAGATGTGTCTCATCCACATCCTTCAAAAGAAAATGCCTTGGACAACAAAACTGACGAAGAGCTCCAACAAGAGCTAAAAGTGCTTGAGGCCGTTCTTTTCGTGCAAAATGAGAGATGAGTGTGCAAACTCACGTTCGTGGTTCCTCAAAGGGCCCGAGCAGGCACAATTGTGATAAGAACATGGAAATAGATCCAATTGACGTTAGCACCGGTGCTGTTGATGCATTTTGTATTTGAACCAATTTGACAATACATGGTATGTGCTCACATGTCTTCCCTTGTCAACCTGCATGATTTGTCCAATTTGCCAAGACAGTGAGGGCCTTTTTGATCCTTTTGGGTCTGATCTCAACGTGAGAGTCTGAAATTTCGGTACTTAGGAGCAGGGTCTAAAATTGTACCCGGTAGAGGTTGCAGGTGTATATATATATAATATATATACATGTGTATTACTGCATATTAGTGCACACAGGCATACATACAAACAGTATACATATGGTGTTTGATTGAGATCCCAAGAGTGTAGGGTAGTCCAATCCGTGATATTAATGGAGCAGTTTGTTGTAATATAACTAATCCCTGTATAAATTCACAGTTTACATGTAATGGTGTTTGTGATACATTGTGTAGGTTAATATATTCTAAAGTAAGTTATTTTTTATCTTAGATGTGTGGGAATAAATGCATGTGAAAAAATATATGCTGTCCAGCCAGGACACCCCAACGGGATGGTCCAGGTATATAGTTGCTCGGGTCTCTGGTCTTCGACAAATGCGGGAAGCCATGCGGACACAATTTCCATGCCTTGAGGAAATCATCCAGGGCCACCAATTCTTCCTGACGGTTGAAACAGTGAGGTCCCAAAGTGTCCTACATCCTTAACTGGAGTTCTTGCAAAAGAACTCCGGGGCGGAGCATCAACCTGGAACACCCAAGCCATGGACTGGGACTTGGTGTGAATTCATTTGAGTCTGATGGGTGAAACAAATCCAGGTAGACCATGTTGGCAAACCATTAGTCATGTGCGGACCGAACATTCCGCCAGCTACGGGGCATTCTGCCACACACCACCTTTGAAATTTGTTTGTTTCGACCTCAATGTCAGCAGTGCTCGAACGGAAAACACACTCCCATGAACACATCATATGGAGGTGGAAAGTGCGCCCCCTGTTCGTAGGATACAGTAGTCTTCCAAGGGACCATGGCATCCACTTCCATGTGATGTGTTCGTCAGAGTGTATGCAGTGAATCGGGATGTGGACTTCCAAACATCCCCTTCTCTTTGACCATTGCCTTCGTTGCCTGAAAGGAAATAGTCGGAATAGCATTGAAGGGATAAAACATGTTAAAACACTGGAGATGTGCCGATAGCGGCAGTGTCGCACACTCACTGGAGGTTATAATTAGACTCAGACTCCGACGAAGACATCACATGGAAGTGGATGGAATGGATGAAAAGGGTCTCTTGGAAAAGGTTTTCCACTTTCCATGTTAGTGAGGCGGAGTGTATGTCAAAAGAATTGGCTCCGTACACAAACAAACCTCAAGGTGCTTCGTACAACGCGGCAACCAGAGCCAGAGTTCACCCCGGAACCAAATGGGGGCACTCGACCAAACACCAGGACATACCGGAATCATGCCACAACTTCAGTTCCTCTAACAAGGATTCTGGCAACGGAGCACCAAAAACCTTCATGAATTGATCCCTGATGATCCCTACGGATTTGAATTAGGGATCCTCTTCAGGCTCTCACCCTTTCCAAAGGAGGAACATGGATTTCCATGCTGTCCACGCCTCTGCAGAGTCCGACCAGCGCCGGTGCCTGCCGCGCCGGAAAGCTTTTCACCAACACTGTATTATATGATGAGTCCTTGTTCATTCACAAAGCAATTCAAGGAGGCAAAAGGATCAGAAGGGGTCCCTATCTGGAAACCGCTTCCCTCACACATGGATGCACATGGTCCAAGAGTCACGAGTCTAATGACCAGGTCCATTTCTGAGACATGCTGACTAGTGCGACTCGTAGAGAATGAGGGAATGAGCCCCCAATCGAGATTCCTTTGGATCCAGCCACCCTCATTCCCTACGAGTTGCACCAGTCAGCATGGTGTCAGGAGACCGAACCGCCGGCGTTCCGACCCCGGCGGCAGGGACATCGACCAGTCAATCAATTCGTCTATCATAGTCCACCCGGCCAGGGGCTGTCGAACAGGGCTAGTCTCCCCTGGTCAATTCGACACCCACATGGTCTTTTGTAGTATATTGAATCAGTATATATTCACCTCTCACTGCATGGATGAGGTCACTGCAGACTGCATGCATGTTCGCCCTCTCGCAGTGCCTCGGTAGCGCCTTCTGCTCCTCTGCATCGGACGTTTCAGAGGTATTGCCTGCAAACAATGATTCATCGGCCATTCCGAAACGAGAAGCAACAACACCACATCACCACACACACAAACAAACAAACAAAAACAAACAAACTGCGAGTGGATCTTAATCAGCGAAGTTTGAAGCTATCACTGACGGTCCATAAGCGGCGTAGCGTCGGAACGGAAACCGCACCTTTTCTAGTCGCTTGATCCTTGAGCCAAAGTACATATGGTACATATATATGTACAAGTTGCACTGTACGTGTCGCTGCACTTCCATTCGCACCCCCCATGTGAACGGCAACAATATGTTCCGATCACACACGAAAATTTAGGGATGTAAGTGCTACAAAAGAATTGTATGATTTGCCGCGAGACTCATATGAGGCTCATACTACGAAACATGCTGGACTAAAGCGGACTTTTACATATAAAGTGTGCAACTATGGCTCAGAACCTATGAAAATCGAATTGAACAAGTGAGACAGTCACGAGGCCTCGCTCAGTATCCACTCAAAAGAGCATCGCTTTGATGTAGATCCGAACTGGTGACTTCCACGTAGATGTCACATCGGCAACTGACTTCACACTTCTCAAAAGATGTAGGTTTTGGTTTGGATACACTTACAGAACGGCAAGTCGGAGAGACAGTCGGTGACTGTCTGCCTTCCATTATGCTCATGGTATCAAATCGTCAATCCGATGATTTGCAATGATACACTTACAGCGTTTCAGATCAGATAGACATCCGGTGAATGACTTCCTCCCTGGTTTGCATGGTATCCTCATAGTCGTTCAAAGAAATCACCACTGGCGATAACCTCTCCATCCACGATGATCCCAGCTGCCCTGAGCATCCCGCCGATCATCTTCTCCCTTCTTGGACTTTCCCTTGGACTTGCTCTTTCCCTTCCCCTTTTCAGAAGGTTGAGGTACTTCGCGACGTTCTTGCGTTAGCGCCGGCCTCCAAGATGTTCCAGATTGGCCTCCTCCTTTGGAATATCCTCGGGATGATGAAGAAGTTGTACCTTCTGCTGCATGTGCGTTGGCGGCAAGATCTTCCTGCAAAGCTTGCTCAAACACATCGGTAGCACTGGATGGTGATTTATCATGTGGTCTGGCTTTTGGAGCAGCCTTCGCCTTGTTCTCCTCTGCTGATGAGGGTCCGAAACTCTTAGGTGCTCCTGAAGGTTTTGGCTCCTCACTTGGTGCTGACGACGGCTTGGCCTCGGTTCTGGGTGTAGATGCTGGCTTTGCCTCAGCTCTTGACGAAGATGCTGCTTTCGCTTCAGACTTAGTCGTTGATGTTGACTTAGCTGTTGCCTTGGCTGCCTGCTTCTTCTTGCCCTGAATCTCCTTGGCCCTATCTCCAAAGCCTAGACGATCGGTAAGAGCTTGAACATGCTTCTGTTCTACCACGCTCATCCATCTCTCTGTATGTCCAATGTTGGGATTTCTGGCCATTGACTCTACGACATTCTGAGCGTGTGGGGGCAACCTGATCTCATGTTGATCAATGATCAGCAGAATAGACTTCTCCCATTTGCTCTTCATTCTCGAGTACATGATGTCCAGAGGATCGATCACCTTGTGGTTGGGTGATGTAACGTCGGTTCTAAAGTAAGAATATGTCCGACAACCATAAATCGCATGGATGCACTTCTGTACCAATTCAATCATTGCGTTGGCTTTCTTCGCTTTCAACTCCTCAAGCTGGACGTCAGTCAAGTTGGTGGAGTATTCGAAGTTGCCATATTCCTTCTTGAAGGAGTACGGAGTATGACCAAATGATAGGATCACGAGTGCCACCTTGCAAATGAATTGCTCTCCTCTGAATCGGTGCCAGGCCTCCTCAATCGTAATCTTGTTTTCGTTGGCAAAGATTCTCATCATGTCATCTGTTGGATCCAATGGTCTCCCATCGTCATCGATTTCAGTGAAATCCTCTGTACCGAACTTGCTTATCACATCCAGTCGCTTCCTTTTCCAATTTGCTTTGAAGTCGGTAAGGCTGGTGCAATAGTAGCTCTTGTACATCAGGGAGATCATGTTCAGCACACATTTGACCACATACCTATCCATCAAACCCGATGCATTCACGGAGACGTCCTGACAGTAGGCTCTCTCTTGATGCGCATAGATTCGAGGTTCCGGTACTCGACAATAGATGGGGAGATCTTCGTTGTCTCTTCCTTCTTCGGGATTGAACTCGGTCGCCCCATGCTGTGCATAGTATCCCGGTTCATCACGATCTGTCGGTCGATTCGCCTCCGGATGTAAGTCGTCGGTGACGTCTTCATCCTCGGGTTCACCATCTTGACATTTCTTCCCCTCATATTGTTGTGTGCTCCTCTGGATCTCGATGATCACGTTTCGTTCGTCTTCATCTTCTAGATCAGAATCACGATCGTAGTCGATCTCGTCCTCATTGAAAGATGGGGTCTCGACATTGTCACTCTTGAAGTTTTCTGCACCATCAGACGGTTTGGAAGGATCTAGATTGTCCATGTCCTCGTCGTCGTCAGCTGCTTCAGTTTGAGCGATGTCTCTTCCCAAGCCTTTCTGATCTCGTCCATAGTGGCCTGGTCCAAGATATCTTGATCATCATCTTCAGGCTCCTTCTCTTCCTTCTTTTCCTCTTCATCGTCGCTCACAAGATCAACGGGTGAATCGGAAATGACAGTGTTGCGAATACCACACGAGAGTAGCCTGCCTTGACAAGATAGACATACGGACAAAGATGAAGAAGTCAAATGCATACATGATGGACACAAAATATTGCCATCCACGTTGCGATACCCTTCACATGTTCTGGAGATGATTTCGTCCCATGTTTCCTCACTGATGGAATCCTCGATCAGCTCTCCATTGTCATCGAATTGTACTTCATCGATAAGGGACACGAGCTTTTGGACGTTGTCATCTGTCGCCGAGGCTGACTTCGTGACTTCGTCGGCTCTCTCGAGGATGGTATGCTTCTGAGCAACCCAAAGTCCATGACGTGCCGCTAGAACAACTTGCTCTCCAGTGCTTCCCAGCAGGAGTCTCCTCCATGCCTGAACGTAGTCGTCCCAATACCAAGCACCTCGTACACATCTCCATGGAACTTCTCTAAAAACAACAGTGTAGGAATTCTCCGAAATTCTTCCCCCAAGCTTCCTCAAAGTCATGATTGGAACATAAAGGCAAACGGGCATTCCCACTCTTGGCCATCTTGATCTCAGAATCTTTGATGATCGATCATCCCACGGCGCAAAGTGGTTGAAGAAAACACTACCTCTATATCCCTCCGTTCCACCAGGGACAATTCCTAGTTTCATGATTGACTCAATATTGGAAAGCGATGTCATGTGAAAGCTTCCTCCAAGCTGCATTGCCACATTCTCTGGAATGAGATGTGAAGTCCACACAGGATATATTGACACATCCTCTTCAAGAACAGTCTCTCTTCCAGAATTGTGAGAGGCAACAGCTCGAATTGCACAAGGAACGATCCAACGTTCATGCTTCAGAAATGACGGTGCATCTGTGCTGTAATACATGAGGTTTGCCCAGTATTGCCTTTCCTCTTCGAGTGAGACATCCTCCCTTGAGATACGAATGGCGGCAATCTGATAGCGTACTCTGTTCTGCAACTTCTTTGCATGCCACATCGCCTTGCATAAATCCTGGTATCGCTCTGTCTTGACATTTTGCTCACGTTGATCATCTGAGATAGTACTGATATCGACACCATCGTTGAAGACATGGTCATATTCCAGGATCTCATCGATGTTCACCCATCCACCCTCATTGCACTTCGGGGACACATGAGGTTTTCGACCGCGGTGCGATTGAATCCCATTATGCTTTCCCACTCCATGCCTGAGTAGTCTATTGAGTCTATGGCTAACCTCGTTGACCCGCTGACTCTCCTCGCTGAACTTGTCGATGCGAGTTGCTGGGTTCATCTTTGGTGGATCCGTGAAAGTTGCATCTCTCTTCGGTCCATTCCAGTACTCCACATAGAATGTAACTCCATACTGTGGAATTATCTCGATGCTTCCTCTATCGCAAGTCACCTCAATCTGCCGATATCCAACCTTTTGAACTTGTTGTGGGTCAGGAGCAAGGTCCTTCACTTTGGGCATCTTTATTCCGAGTGCTGCAGCCTCCTGAATAAGTGCATCAAGTTCCCACTTTCCATTAGGACCTGATCTATCAACCCTGTGATTTGCGACCCTGTACTCTCCTCCTTCTTTGTCATCGGCAATGTCAAAGAGGTCGACGGGCTCTTTGAATCTGGTGACGAAACTGGCGTTCCCAAAGGCCTTCTTGGTTGCCTCGACCGCTTTCGCGTATTCCTCTTTTGCAGAGTCTGACGAGTGTGGTCTACCTTTGGCTCTCGGAGAGTGAGGTGGTACCTTACCTCCTAGTTCCGGCTCTTCTTCGGGAAGTTCAATATCTTCATCATCCACATCCATGTAGTCCTCGTCTTCGACGTCTTTGGATGACTTTGTTTTCCTCTTTCGGCTTTCAACATCACGTCGGATGATTGCCTTGTCGTCCTCGGTGAAGCACTTGCGCATAGTGTCCTCCATGTGAGAGAATGAGTTCATCAACTCGTCCTTCTTCTCAGTGTTGGGACAAATAGCCAGGTGATGTTGGTTTGAACCACAACAATAGCACACCTTTTGGCTCACTGCGCGTGCTCTGACCCTTCTGAGGTTGTCATAGGCGGTTTTCCAGTTGGAAGCGGTTGCTGTACCTTGCCCACTGCGCTTGGCAGCTCTTTTCCGTTCTTCAGTATCTGGATTCGATGTCGGGTAGTGCGACCATGTTTTCGTCGGGGATACTGAACGACCTTCCCCATCCTTGTAGTCTTGCGGATCAAGCTCAGGCGTAGGTGGTTCAGGCTCCTCGACTCCTGGAGTGGTACTCGCAGGGTCGGCTTCGCCATCCTTCATCTCTACATCAGGCTCTTCCGTAGACGTTCTTTTGGGCTCTGGGGCTATGGTCAGTCGTACCATTCTCCTGAACTC